TTTGCCATAACCAGCTGAGTTCTTATGATATATTCCTGCGGCCCGCAGCACCCCTCCACCATGTGATGTACCTGGTACTCAGACTCAGGCCTTGACATCAAATGCGTTTGCTGCCTGAGCCATCTTGCTGGCCCCCTCATTATTGTTTTGACTGGACTATTACTGATAGAGATATTGACTATTTTTTTTCTTACTCTCATTGACCATTTGTGTATCTTCTTGAGAAATAAGTCTACTGCCCATTTTTTAATTGTAGTTTTTTTGTTTGTTTGCTTTGTTTTTCTATTTAGCTATTTAGTTTTTTGTGTATATATATATATATATATATGTTTTTCAAGACAGGGTTTCTCTGTATATTTTGGCTTTTAAGCCCTTGTCAGATGTATGATTTGAAATATATTTTTCCCATGATGTATATTGTAATTTTTTAAAACTCTCTGGCTCTTTGGAGGGTCTACCACCCAGCTCCCAAATAATCATACAGAGATGTATTCTTTCTTATGAATGCTTGACTTGTTGGCTTGTTTCTAGCCAACTTTTCTTAACAAGTTATCTTGTCTACCTTTTGCCTCTGGGCTTTTCTCTTTCTTTATTCTATATACCTTTCTTTCCTTCTTACTCTGTGGCTGGCTGTGTAGCTGGGTGGCTGGCCCCTGATGGTCCCCTCTCCTTCTCCTTTTCTTGCTCCTCCCTTTTCTTTTTCTCCTCTATTTATTCTCTCTGCCTGCCAGCCCCGCCTACCCTTTCTCCTTTCTGGCTATTGGCCATTCAGCTCTTTCTTAGACCAGTTAGGTGTGTTAGACAGGCAAAGTAACACAGCTTCACAGAGTTAAACAAATGCAACATAAAAGAATGCAACACAGCTTTGCATCACTGAACAAATGTTCCACAGCACAAACGAATGTAACACACCTTCAACTGATAGTCCACAACAGTATATTGTGTCTGTCGTTTCCCTTGCTGTCCAGAAGCTTTTTAATTGGATGCAATCCCATTTGTCTCTTTTTACTTTTATTGCCTGTGATTTTGTGGTCAGATCCCAAAAGCTGTTGTCTATACCAGTTTGTCCTTTTCTCCTGACAATGGTGGCAGCGTTACAGCTTCTGCCTTATATTTCAGGAATCCATTCTCAGTTGGTTCTTCCACACATGTTTATGCAGTTTTCCCAGGACAGTGTCTTAAAGAGCGAATTCTTTTCCTGTTGTGTGTTGATGGCCCCTCTGCTGAAAATCACTTGTGTTTGGTCTCACCTGTCTGTGTTCAAGTTTGACTTTTGCAAATTCCACCTGACTTTATTACTGTGGCTTTGGAGTGTGGTTAGGAATCGGTAATGTGGTGCTTTTTCTTTTTGTTCATAATTGCCGTGGCTTTTTAGGGTGTGTGTGTGTGTGTGTGTGTGTGTGTGTGTGTGTGTGTGTGTGTGTTTCCATGGAAACTTCAAGGTTTGCTCTTCCTATTTCTGTTCTGTTTAAATGACTTCGGAGCTTCACTATGGATTGCGGTGACCCTGAATCATGCTCCTTCAATCTAACACTGGATGTCTTTCCCTTTGTCTCGGGTTGTTTTCATCATCAGCTTATAGTTTTCAGTAGGAACAAATCTTGCTCCTCCTCTGTTAAATTTATTCCCAAGTGCTCTGAGTTTTATTGTTGTTTTGCTGTAAATAGGATAGTCTCTTGATTTCTGCTTTGAACAGTTCATTGGTAGTATATAGAAATGCTCAGGGGGGGTCTGTGTCAATTTTATATCCTGCAAATTTACCACATTCATTTGGTAGTGTTCTCTCTCTCTCTCTCTCTCTCTCTCTCTCTCTCTCTCTCTCTCTCTCTCTCTCTCTGTGTGTGTGTGTGTGTGACCTTAAGTGCTTTCTTCATTATATTTTGTATTGTCAGTAAACAGTGACGATTTTAGTCCTTCTTTTCCTGTTTGGATGCTTTTTATTTCCCTTGCCTAACTACTCTGGCCAGGACTTCCAACACTATGCTGAATCAAAGTGGCAAGACAGAAATCTTTGACTCATGTCAGGTCTACCCAAAAAGCTTTCTGTCTCATTTGTCTGAGTGTGCATGTGTGCATTTGTGTGCGTGCGAGTGCATGCATGTATGCATGCATACATGCATGTCCGTGCTTAGGTGTCGGTGTGCAGGAGCTTCAGAGGCCAGAGAGGGTGTTAGGTGTGCTTCTCTACCACTCTCCATTTGGTCCGCCAAGGCAGTGTCTCTCAGAACCTATAGCTTGTGTCTCCTCTACACTGGGAGTCAACAGTGGTCCTCCTGTCTCTCCCAAGCCCAGAGCTGGGTTCTCAGTGTTTGCAGAGATCCTGGCTTGTTACCTGTGTTAGCATCTGAACTCTGGTTCATGTGATTGCAGAGCAAGCTCCTTAATCTTGAGGCCCTCTCTCTAGATGCTCGCCATCTAGAGACACATCTTTGAGTTAACTATAATACCATAATGTTGGCAGTGAAAGCCCCAAGGTTAGCAACAACAACAACAACAACAACAATAAAAATATTGATTAACTTTTACCCCTTTATCTTTTTATTCATCTTACTGTTTTTGTTAGAAACGATGCAGTATATAAATAATTTGAGCCTAGATATATAATTGGGTGTCTTCTTTCCAGACGATTTTTCTCACATGGTACTTGTTAATTGGTAATAAGAATTGACCTGCCGGGCGGTGGTGCTACACACCATTAATCCCAGCACTCAGGAGGCAGAGGCAGGTGGATCTCTGTGAGTTTGAGGCCAGTCTGGTCTTCAGAGCAAATTCCAGGACAACCAGGACTGTTATGTAGAGAAACCTTGTCTTGGAAAACCAAAACAAAACAAAAACCGAAGAGCTGCCTGCGCTCACTTGAAAGCACCTTCGACCATTAGGTTGGGGTGTGGATATCTGGTCATACTGTGGTAGATTTAAAATCTGTTCATTGTATACAGGGCTAATTGTTTCGCCCCCTCTTCCTTGTGATCTGCCTAGATTTCCACCGAGGAGCCACTGAATCCCATTAAACAAGATGAAAAGAATGGAAAGTTGCGCTATATACCAAATATCTTCCCACACAAGGGCTATATATGGAATTACGGAGCCTTCCCTCAGGTAACATTCCTGTTATAATGGTAAACTTTTATGCCTTCTAAAGGAATCACCTTGTAAGTCCTGTGAACTTCCTGAATTTAAATTAGCTCCTTGAACGTACCAGTTTCAGAGATTTGTAAACTTAAAATTTTTAATGTGCCACTCGATTGTATCAGTAAACTTGACTTCAAACCGTATGCACAATCATTCCTCAGGTTCTTGGAGGCAGGTGTGTGGAAGACTGACGGTTGACATTTGAACACATCTCTTTTCGTGGATTTAGCTGTTGTCAGTGACAAAGTCTCAGCAAATCTTTGTCTAGCCGTTCCTTGATGCTTTTATATACATTTCTCTATGGCAGGATGGGTTTTAATTTAATAAATCTAATTGAGTTACATTGCTTACGGAACTCACTGGTGTGAGTCTGGAATTGTGACTGGCTGAACAAGGAAGTCGAGGCCTGCGTGACGGCAAGTGCTCCTTCCTGCTGCGGAACCACGTTGCCATCCTTGCCCCTTCCTACTTACCTCAGTTTCCCCACTCTTGGAAGGAGCAACTCTTCCTGATTATTTAGTGAGTAAAACTCGGTGTGCCTGAGCCAAAGTCTGGGTTTTGGATCCCTAGAGAAGCATTTCTTCTTTATGATCATAAACCCCATTTGGCCATCAGCTGTGTGGAAATTTCATGTTTACAGTTTTATGTATTAATTTTTAATTACATGAAAAATTGACATGGGGGACTGTGCAGGAAAAGGACAGCTGAGAAAAGCAGGTCAGAGAAGCATTCAGATGAGAAGGAAGGGGAAATTGTTCTTTCTAGAGCAGTTTCCCTTTGATGTAGCCAGCCCACCCACGTGGATGCACTGTTGGTTAAAACGGGCACCCCTGAAATGACGGCTAGAAATGAGAGTGTGTGTCCAAGCCGTAAAGGCAGTTGTCTTGACGTCTTAGGTTTCTACGCAGCTGATTCTGTTGGACCTCACAGTGAAAGGTTAAAAACAGTTCCGTAGAGCTTGGGATTATGGGAGAGGAGGGTGTGTGGGTGAAAGGAGGGCCAGAGAAGCTGCTGATGAGAGGCAAAAACAGAGACAGGCGAAGTTGAGCAGTTGGGGAATAAACCAATATTCACCTGGAGCTCCTTCTTCAGGGTGCCATGCTGGGAGTCACAGGTGTGAAAGGGTAGAGAGGTGGGCGTGAGGCCCAGCAGAGTGATGGGTGACTGAGCGGGCAGGCACGAGAGCCTGGCTATCCTCACAGCAGCCCGTGACCTTGAACGAGGCCCTTTGTGCATCTGCCCCTCTCCATCTGTGAAGTGGCAAGCACGGACACAGACTGCACCTGGCTGGGCCGAGGGGCACGAGACCATTTTGTGAGACCGGCGTGTGATGGGCAGCACTGTCAGCAGCAGCAGTTATTGTAGCTAGAATTTTCCTGCCTTGCCCACAGTCAGGACAAATCTTTGTCACCCGCCAGTCCCACAGCTGCTCAGACCCAACCAAGTAAACACAGAGACTTATATTG